TTTCTCTCAAACTTTCTAAACAGGCCATTAAGCTGTCGCACAGGCACTCGAATCACATCCTGTGGGTATTGTCCATTCCTCCCTCTGTCTCCCACGCCACGCTAGACATCCAGGAAAGCCTGTAAATCTCAGCTCAACATAGGTGTGTGTCTTTGTCCAGGAGTGTGTGTGTGCGCATGTGTTGCTCCTGCGTGTATGTGTGTCCAAGGCAGAGAGATGTTTGTGGGTGACGGAATCTCCAAGGCAACCAATCAGTCTCCCATAGAGGCTGCTTTCACTGGAATAGCCTGCATTTCTTCCTCATCGGGCGCAGAGGAAATTTTTGGAAAGGGAAATGGAGACAGTGAAAAATAATAAAAAAAAATGTTTCAAAACAGTTGTCATATTTTCCACCTCCTCCTCCTCCCCCTGCCTCATCCCACCAGCCTCTCATACAGGGCCTTATTCCTGGGCACTTCCTGTGACTCCCACTGTCCTCTGCAAGCAGAGCCAGGGATATGTTAGTCAAAGGGCTGCTGAGTGGGACTTTAGGTTTTATTGGAAATGTGTTTAAAAAAGCCAAGAGAAACAATAAGCGCACAGCACCTCTGGCCTGTTATTGTGGCTGTTGTTTTAGAATTGGTAGCAAAATAACAGCCCATTAAAAAAGAAAAGAAAACACATCCACGTTTTGATTTTTCTCCAAGGAAAAATCAGAATTACTGTTTTTATTTTGGCTCCCGCATTCCACAGTCTCCCAGACTGTGTCAGTGCTGTAGGTGAGCTCCAGCGTCTGACCCTCCAGAATACATCTCCGTTCAAAAACAAATGGAAACAAAGAAGCAACGGTCACTCGCGTCATGCCTTTGGAATTCAGTCAGCGCGTCTTTAGCGTGAACCAGTTTTTTATTAAAGTCGTTTTTTTTCCCGGCACCAGAAAAAAAAAAACAAGAACAAAACAGCACAATGTCAGCCCCCCCCTCCCTTATCCGTGCTGCTTCAGGATTCTACCACACTCAGACAGCTTTGCTACCAGTACCATGCAAGAAGTATGCCAAGACCTCACTGTCCCACCCCCAGGCAATACGGGTCCGAGCACAGCAGCTCTATAGAACTAGTGTCAATAGTGCCAGGACAGGCGACAGTGGTGCCAAGTGAAGGGATGTTGAGGTACCAGTCACCTCAGGGTCTCACATTGCAGAAGACAAAATAACAAACCTTGCTATCTTGCAAGAAATGGATTCATTGGATTCTCAGATCTCAAATCAAAAAGTGAAAGGCCTCTGGTTCCAAGCGGGATGAGTTTCTAGGTTAACGTCTCTTGCACTTCCACGGATATGTGACATTTTTAAAAAAAACTCTCAGCATGTTTTGCGGGGTTTTTTTTCTGTTTGCATGTCAGTTTGTTCTCTTGATCTGAGCAATACTGATACAGGCCCTGCTGTGTTTCGGGGTCTGGCGTCGGATTTGACAAGTCGTGTGCATCCAGGAGAAACTGCAGGTGTGGCTCTTTTATAGTCACACACGTGGGTTCAGAAAAATGCACATCGGTATCTTGTCATCTTGTCAGAAGAGAAAGAAATATGCTAGAAAGCAGCTTTGTGCAGTTATACAAACTTAAAATAGCAATGCAAAACAGATTTCCTGCGGTTATACCATGGCAAAAGCAGAGTAATGTGTAGTCAATCACAGTAAAATTATCAGAGAATAGTAGTGACCAGCAAACTAAAGTAAAAGTGTTGTACAAGCATGACAAAACTGCATAGAGACCATGCAAGCCTATCATAGCAAAATTTTGTAAGGCTGTAATGGTAATAATACATATTTGTGTCTCTTTAATTTGCTGCAAAGATTTTATAGATGAATCGGAGGTGATTAAGAGTGGTACATGTACACAAGACTTGTGCAGCGATGTAACCTTGCTAATTGCTCTTTTCAGTCTGTGATTAGGATGCTCTTCGTCTCCACATCCCTGGGAATCAACGCGGGCTGAGCAGCTGACTGTGCCAAGCCTGTCCAGAGGCTCATGGATCGAGCTCCCCGGCTCTGCCGGCATCTGCCTGGGCATCTCTCGGAGCTGAGCTGCTAAGCCGAGCCTCTTCCTGCTCCGCGCCTAGGATGAGAGGTGAGGCCCCCTGTGCTGTTGGCTGTGCCTTCCCAGGTGCTTGTGCAAAACTCGCCTCCTGGTCTGCCCAAGAGGCTGCTCTGACCCCCTGACTAGCTCTCAGGCCTTTCGTTGTGATCCGACCGGGACTTGAGAGTGAAACTGAGAGCGCGAGTCGCTGTGCTTCGCCTGCTCTGAGGAGGATGTGACCCGACGCAAAGCTCTGCCTATTTTTAAAATCAGAGGTGTGCAAAAATAATCATTTCTTCTGTCTGCGGTGAGTGCCTGTAATTATCTGTGAGGACAGCAGCTGCTCTTGGCAGCAGGAATGCCTGTGCCGTAGAAGATTTTGCTGCTGCCTTTTTTACAGTATATTGGCCATGTGTCCTGCCACACAAGGGAAGGCAACCTGGGAATCTCCAAACTTTCAGCAATTTTAAAAGTACAGCACAGTATGAGTAATGCCTAGTACTAATTAATCATTTAGAAGTTCACTGTTTCAGCCGCATAACAGATCAGTTTATCTGGTGTGAAGAGAATTTGTACGTTGATGCGATTCGTTTTGTAAGAAAAAGGAGGATAAACTGCATCTGTAACATGGGTGACAGCAACAGAGCAGACACACAAGATGATATCGTTAATACTATCATTTCTCAGAACGGTAATCTAAACTTTTTCGTTGTCACGTGTGTGTTGTACAATTCCAAGGGTCCTATCTCACAGAGTAATCATTGTTCCTTTGATATTAATCAAATATCACTTGAATAAATGAAGTTGCACTGAATTGCAAGTCACTGACTGGACCAAACAGGCCTGATGGGTTGGATGGTTTGTTCTCTCCTGCAGCTGTTCTGGCGGGTTTTCTTCGGATCCAGTCGGTGACCCCCAGGGCGGATTGAACACGTCCCTGCTGTCTCCAAGTGTGCTGGGGACTAAGGAGCGGCCGTCTAGCTCAGGGTGCTGTTTGAGACGGAGTAAGGAAGCCTTTGCTCCGTCTTGTTCAGCTGCTGCCCTGCCCAGAGAGCTGGGAGACAGAGGAAGGAAGCAGGACCTTCAGGAAGCTCTTGGAGAGGAAAGTTAATCAAATTGCCTGCTTGTTGGATCCAGGCAGCACTGCTGTATTACTGTAAACACATGGCCTCAGCACCATGGGGCTGGGCACGCCCTGCCTATGAGCTGAACTATTATTTCCTATTGAATTCCAATGAAGGCCTCATCAATCCCAGACTGGCTGGAGAAGCTCTCCTGCTCTCCCTCGTCTGGTTTAACTCTCCTGCAACTCTCTACTGAACTGTGCAGACCATGACTGTGTCGTATACTCCTACAGGGTATCTGAAACTAGGTTATTATTAGTCATTACTAATTAATTTAACTTGTATAATTTTATTGAACTGTTCTCATATCCTTATGTAATGAGAATTGATTTTTTTGGTGTCTTCAAATGTAAGGTGACACTTCTTGTAATGTTATTGAACATTCATTGGTCCTATGAAGTGGTAGAAATGATGGTTGAGTGAATTAACTAATTAGTAGCTTTATTTCAACTGTTTGCAACTCCATAGATGTTAATGGAGTACTATACTGGTGATGTGTCAACATGTAGTGTTGATTAAAAGCTATTAAACTGTCACTTGTGACATTTGTTAAGGTATTGCAATGCCCAGAAATTATTGAATTATATATCAAACATATCTATACATGAAGACACAGGGAAATTCAGTCATATCACCCTGCAGCTTACAACTGGCAACCCACTGAAGCTAAGCAGGTGTGAGCCTGGTCAGTACCTAGATGGGAGACTCCCGGGAAAAACTAAGGTTGCTGCTGGAAGAGGTGTTAGTGGGGCCAGCAGGGGGCGCTCACCCTGCAGTCCATGTGGGTCCTAATGCCCCAGTATACTGTAAAAAGGCACTGCCCTTCGGATGAGATGTAAAACCAAGGTCCTCACTCTCTGTGGTCATTAAAAATCCCAGGGCGTTTCTTGAAAAGAGTAGGGGTGTAACCCCGGCATCCTGGCCAAATTTCCCACTGGCCCTTACCAATCATGGCCTCCTAATAATCCCCATCTATGGACTGGCTTCATCACTCTGTTTTCCTGCCCACTGATAGCTGATGTGTGTGAGTGTACTGGCACACTATGGCTGCCATTGCATCACCAAGTTGGGGCTGCACACTGGTGCTGGTGGATAGGAGTCCCCATTACCTATAAAGCGCTTTGAGTAGAGTGTCCAGAAAAGTGCTATATAAGTGTAAGCAATTATTATTAATAATTAAAAGTGGTCCTTCATCACACTGCTCAATGCATATGCGAAAGTAGACTGTTCTTCCATCACAAAATCCCTGGGTTCTTTCCCATGAGGACGAGATGTATGTTTTATTGTATATACAGTATGTAGTGGTTGCTACATAAATAGTCCATTGGTCTTGTCATCATTGAAACGTTTCCTGTCTTTTGACTGAAATGCACGATCAGCCATGCGGACAGACTGTGGAACAGCGATTTTTGCTTGAGTTGCACAGTGAAAGCTGGAGAACATGGCTTTCAAAGTCCTGTGCTGTTTTAAAGGCTGCATACTCACTCGCATCTTTACATACAGGTGAAAATGCGCAGGTGAGACGTCCTTCACTTAACTCTGGTGTCACCTGGCACATTTCTGACTCCGTGCAAGGTGAGAAGCCTCACTGCCTCACTGGACAAAGGGACTTGGCACTTTCAGTGCCCAGTTGGCACTAAAGCCACAATGTCACTGACTGTACTATTGCCATTAGTTTCCATTTTCCTTTCACGAAAAGCTCTAGATGGGCTGTTGACGTCTTGAGCAAATGGTGCAGAAAAAGGGAAGTGTTTTCCAGGATTCTCCTTTTTTTTCTCCCTCTTTTGCAGGATGAAGCTGACCAGGGGGCACCAATGGCGTCTCACAGCACACCGCCTGCATGGAGAGCAGAGCTGTGTAAGATAGTACTCTCCTGTAGTGCGCGCGTGCGCGTGCTTATGTGTGTGTGTGTTGTTCCACCATGTTATAAGCCCATTTCCTTTTGGGATTGCTCCAATTCCCTGTTAGGCAGGACTGACCGGGGGAAAGATGGAGCTGGTTGTTGCGGGGGGGGTTAGGAGTGTGTGTGTGTGGAGGCGGGGGGGCGTTTCCTTATCTAACAGGCACAGGCAGCTTTTGAGTCACTTATCAGCTCCAACCACATTGCAAAAGAGCATCCTCTTGTCCACTGAGCGAAGGAAATCTCTCCACAACAGAGCTCTGAGCTGCAGAGAGCCAGCTCTTTCCAATAGGCAGCCAGTCTACCTCCCCGCTAGAGTGCAGGGAGAGAGAGGGAGCGAGGAGGGGTGGGAGCTGCCTCTTCACTGGTTCTGAATTTTTGGTGGCCGCCGCAGTAAACAAGTGACAGTAGGCGCGCATTCTGCAGAGAAGACCGCTTTTGGGGATGAGTGTTCTTTTGCAGTGAGGATTTGCCAGCCTGGCTTGGAGTCCCCTTGGCTTTGGGGCAGCCGAAGACGTGCTCCCGTCGGCCTGGATGGTGAACCGTCAGCCTGCCCCCCCTCCTACCCCCATCAGCTGGGGGCTGTGTCGGTCTCTACAGATCGCCTCGCGCTGACTGGAAGGGCCATCAGCACCTCCACCGCGCGCCCACGGACTGGGAGAAGGGTGACTGGGGTGCCCAGCAGTGGGGTGTGTGCGCGTGCCTGCATGTCTCGGGGGAAGAGGGGTTCACAAGGAGTTTGGTGCTGAGAACCCGGGAGCTCGTTACAGCCAGGACGTCAGAAACGGGATTAAAAAAAACAGAGGGGGAGAGGCAGCGGTGGAGGTGACGCGTGCTCCTGACTGTGGACATGGACTGGACACACCAGGTGAACTGGGCTGGGGGTTCGTTTGTGGTCTGTGAGCGTACCAGTGGGTTAACATGGTGAGTGAACCATCACAGTTATCACCGGGGTGAGCTGTGCTGCTGTACAGGCAGCAGCAGTAATCATGATATTGCCTGCAGGGGTTTTCCGATTTTGATTCAGAAGTATTGTTTTTTCTTTTACAATATGTACTTGGACAAATCTTGATTTGTTTGCTTAGTGCCACAAGAAGTGGCTGACTCTGCTTAGGCTTTGAAAGAATATCACTTAGACTTTGAAAGATTATTTCTTGGGCATTAAAAGAATATTGATTTTGATCCAAAGTCTCTTTGGTTGCAATGTGTGTTGTGTTTCAGCCTGCGTGTGTGCTTTGCTTTGGTGCTTGATGCAAAGACAAACAGAAGATGAGATTCCTTTGGAAACGTTAAAAAGGGTGAGGAGTTTCAAACTATTTTAAGATTAAGGAGCTCCTAGAAACTGTTGAATTCTAAAGTTCAAAATATTTTAATTCATTAGATTTAATTACACTTTCCTTTTAATTTTTTTACAGGTTTCCTGTTCTTAATTAAATCTAAAATAAAAGAAATGTACATATTAATAATTCGTATATATTTTCATAATCAAAACCTTAAACTCAACTATCTAATTGCTAGCTGTGCGTCATTTATAGTCTGTTTTTGGAATTCGTCAGTATGGGGAGGATTGATTTATTATACGTTATTCTCTTACATGAATACACAGACATGAGAGAAACAAAGAAATGTAGCGGTCAATTAGACAGTATTTCTAAACCTGTGTCGCCCTTCTGGACAGGCCGACGAACTTTCCTGACATAAGTGACATCTAAATCTACTTGAAACCGTGGCTGTTATTCTCCAGAGCTGTTTTCCCCAAACAAAACGACGGTTTAAATTCAGATGGAGAACAATTAAAAGCTTAAACATAATTACAGCCGGTTGCCTTATCGTTATTTTGCCAAGTGTAGTTTTCATGCACGGTATATACCATATTCTTGATTTCCGATTCTTTTCGAAGACACGTTTCAATATTCTCGGGAATTAACCGGGAATTAACGTTACCCAGAACTGGGGACTCCTCGCCTTTTTCGTGTTTCCCGAAATCCAAATTTTGCGCTTTATTCCGCTTTCTGTGGCGTGACAGTTATATTTGGATGTAGATATGTTGCAATTCCTCCAAATCTTAAGCAACCGCCGAGAAAAGGGAACATTTTCATATTATTAACATTGCATCATTGAACCGATGAACTTTCTGCATGAAGACATCTTGTCGTTTATCGAATCAATTTACTGTCTTGTAGGTATTCAAATAAAGTCTCCTCCATAATATCGTGACAATGTTATTATTTTATTATTTTTACATTTTAAAACATAAAAAGTTGTAAAATAAATTATTTGATTATGAACGGCCTGTAGGTAAAAGGTAGTTAATAATAACATTAATAATAATACAAATAAATGATATAATTAATTATAATTTGTTAAACAGTTTAAACACGAAACGCCCACACCAGATAACGAACATTTCTGTGAGGCATTTAACGTGTTCTTTTAACAGTAAAACTCTTCGTGGACTCCAGTAAACAATTTGCCTGTTATAGTTAATGCGTTTTTGTAATTTATCTTTCTAAAAGACATTCGATTTGTAGTCCGGCTGGAAGTTTAAGATATTATATATTACAAAAAGCAAGCTTGAAATATTTTTTACACTAACTGTTAATGTTATTTTATATCCATAAAACCCAGTTCAATTTCGGAAACGGGCTTTTCAATAGATTTTTTTTCCCGTGCCTAAAACGGGTTTTAAGAACCTATTGAAGAATCCTCGTAGGGTTAAACCTGATTCTTAGTACAAATGACTTCGATAATGTGCGGCTCCAGTGCGCTCTGTGCCCAAATTATTTTCCCAAAGAGAGCAGCCTGTGATCGAAAGCAGGTTTCAAAACGGCATGAGGTGAACGTGTTACGTGCTATTGAATTAATTGGAATCGCCTGCTGCGAATAACGACAGAATTGTAATACTCAGCAGGAATTCAAATTCCTAATTCAACAGAAATCGCCAATTGCTGCTATAACCCGAATTACTGAATCGTTTTATCGTTTTGTTGGAAAAGTTCGCATAACAAATAGTATCGATGAAGACGCTGTAATAATAATTACAAATGACTAATATTATTTTATTAATATTATTATTGTTATTGTTTCTTGTAAGATTCTCTATTATTTTGATCACATCAATGCCATTTTATCGAATATATGCATTTTGAGCTATAGTACGCCGTCAGTGCTACATTTCATTTTCATGACGAAGGTGTATAAGCTTGCTAGCATATAGAACCAGTCGGTTTGTCAGTCATGTGGTCATAACTGAGGGAACAAAGCCTTCTAAAATAAATACGAAGATATTCTAACAGCGGAACCCGTGTAAATACTGTAGCATTTGTCGATCAGAGGGTAGTTAACATTTAAGGCCACGAATCTCTAGGTTACTCTTTCAGTCTCACTGATGACCGTAAATTTGTCTTCCGTTTTAATGGTACACAAGAATAAAAAACAACAACAACAACAACAACAACAGGTAAGATACAGCACAGTGAAATTTGACCCCCCAAAAAATAACAAAAGCCTTCATTGACGTTGTCACCTTGATCTGTTGTTTCGTCTTCTACTGTATAATGTACATCTGAACAAAGGCTTTACATTTCCCGAAGGCAGATGTTTCGGTCGTTTGCATGATAAATTCAGTTTAGCTCGGTCACACGTACCGGACCCGCGCTGGAACATTTTCTCTCATCCCGTCATTTCAGGGGGTAACTCATATTGTGGACCATATGCCCCATCGCAAAAAGAGCCAAGTGGAGGCGTGTGTTTTCCCCCAAAAACACCAACTTCCAAATTACCGAGGAAGACAAAGGTCATAAGGTTTTTTTTCTTCACTCCATCCGCACAAATAATATCGGTCTCATTAGGGGTCCTCAGGATCTGGCACCTGAAAGGACAATGGTCCAGCATTTTTATAGATGTCCTTAGGGCATTACATACTTTAGTACTGGGTAAAGATATTGAATGGGTTTAGCTACAGAAAATAAAACAAACTCTTTAAATAATTGATTAATTGGTTAAGTACTGAAACTGTGCTTAGCTTAATGACTTAATTGTATAAATCCCTTCTTTAATTGATCACAGTGAAATTATTCTACATCTTTAGAAATAGTTCAGGTGGGTAGCTGTGTCAGCATGCATAGGCTGCAGAGGAACAAGTGAAGGTTTATTCAATGTTGAAAAGAGAAGAAAAGAAACACATTTTAGCTGTGGAATAAACCTTTACTTGCATCTTTAGAAATAAGTGATTTATCGCATGCTGGAGGAGGGTTGGACCTGACACGTATTTCTCTAAAAAAAATGAGACTCCCATGAGACAAATATGGTTGTAGTTATTCATAGGCAAAAGCTAGACTCCCTGAATAACTATTACCTTCAATTATATTGTATTGGATTAGACCATCTGCAATGTTATTACAGTGGAGCGTGAATCGATTACATTAAGTCTTTGCAGTGTCTTCTTCTTGCTGTCATATTCAAAGGCAGATATGATTTTGCACTAAAAAATGAAGTATTTTAAAATCTACATCCAGCCTGATTTTCTTGATTTCTTCCTCCACAAGAAACTCTGGCTCGTCTGTCGTTGTCTTCAATTGAAATTGCCATTGTCTTTAATTGACTTTAATCTGAATGCCTGTGGGCAATTGAGCGCGATTGAACACGCGAGTCATATGTAAGGCTGCCTCAAATCATCGGAGGGCCGATCCTTCACTTTGAACCTCCTGTTCTTGTGCTCTTTTCAATCTGAGCACACTTGTGTACACACACGTGTACTGAGAGAGGCACAGGGTTTCTCATTCTGCAGCGCGACACCAGGAGGATGCAGCAGCTGCTGCTGTGGCTCTCGGCGCCCGAGCTCAGTTTACACAAATCGAAAGTTCTCCTTGCGTTGGCGGGGCAACGTGGCCTGAACAAGCGGGAGCTGAATGAGACTTGCGTGTTCTTGATCATCAAACAAGATGGACGGGTGGCTCTGGATGGGAGGAGCAGAGTCCCCCTGGGCGAGGGGGAATGAGACATAGTCTTTTGACCTGGGTGGTGCAGTGGGGGTACACCTGGCTGCGCTTTGGGGGAGCTGACTCAACTTTCCAGGGCACTGTTATTGAGGTGTTGGCTTACAAAGCAGGTTCAAGCTCATCTTGGGATGACACAACCCACGAGAAGTACAGAAAAAGGCAAATTGGTTTTGGATGAAGAAGCTGAGTTCTTCTGTGTTGCAGGAGTGTGTGTGTGTGTGTTGGGGGGGGGGGTAGTTTATTTCAAGAGTTTCAGACCAAGTCAGGCAGTGAAAGCTTAAGGATGACAGCAAGGGCTCCAGCCACTGAGAGTCACAATGACTGAGTGAGTAGAAATGACCAAGGCCTACAGGTGGTGGTTTCATAGCCCACAAGACACGACCATTGTTACCCGTTTCCTTTCAGCAGGTTTCGGTATCTTATTATGGGGTGGCATTGATTTGTAAGTTGTTTTTCTTTAAACGTGAAGTCTGCTTCTTTCACCCAGTAAACTCTCAGCGGCGATATTTACCAGTGTTTCTGGGTGTCCAGGCTTTAGAGAGGTCTAAAATTGAACTAAGGTCTAAAATTGAACTATTTGATGTGAATTTCAGGCACTCCTCTGAAATGTTTTCATGTAGCCTGAGCTGATAGCAGTTCAGGGCCCCCTGGGTTCAGAAACCAACCAAGCATCTTTTTTCCGACGAGAAGGGTTACTTTAGGATTCTTTTCCATGAAGAGGAGGCCATTTAGTCTGTCTAACTTGTGTGATGCCTAGTACATAACTGGTCCCAGCATCTCGTCCAGCTGCTTTTGGGAAAGGAGCCAGGGTACCGACCTCATGGCTTCATGGCTGGGCAGATTGTTCCATTCGTCCACCACCCCTCTCGAATGAGAAGTCTGCACCAGAGACAAGGGTTCGAGCTGGGCCAGGAGCCAGCGCCTTCACTCGGAAGCCAAGTCTGGTTTTCCCACATACAGTATGGGTACTGCAAAACGTTGAGGGATGTAAAAAGACCTGCCTGAAGTTTCTTTTGCGTGTCTGTGTTTTTCCAGGTCCACACTGGAAGACTTCAGAATTCCTCTCTCCTGGGAAGACTTAGAGTGATCTGAGTGAGGAGCAGCTGATCATGTGAGCTCCACAGGTCCCTGGAGATTACAGTCGCACACAACACACTCGCTCGGAGACGGAGCTTAAGGGAGGTGGTATCCAGTCTTCCACACAGCTGCTCATGGACCTCCGTGGAATTTGGGAGCAGCATCCCAGTGGGTCCAGTGCATTACAAGCCCAAATCCGGCTGTTGGTTTTAGTGCTGGCGGGGCTTAGGGTCCGGCAGGCAAGATAACACAATCAGGACAGCCAGCCCAGCCAGGGAGGATCCTTATAAACACAGATCCAACGTGAGAACTCCAACACCAAGGCCTGGGTGAAGGCGGACGGCCAGACTCTTGGGGAGGGCCAACGGAGAGAAACCCCTCCCCCCAAGCGGGCTCTGAACCCAGTGCGAGCAGCCACACATGACATCACGGCTTTCGCACACGTCTCGGAAAACCTACCGGCCGCCTTAAAACGCCCGTGCGGAGAGGCGCGGCGGGCCCATCGCGGAGAACACGAGAGACGGCCAGACTCCAGGCCTGCCGAGGGGCAGAGACGCGAGGGGCGTCGCGGAAACAGATGCCAGATCTGTAGAAAGGAGGAGAGGGGAGGCAAAGATACATGGATGGATGCCCACAGGCGTCCTGTATAACGGCATATGCGCTCTCTTGATCAGCCGCCCTCTTGCAGGCTCACGCCCACCCGCAGGAGAGGAGCGTCTTGACATGCAGAGGTGATACGGACAGCCTCGAATGTTTCCAGCCCCCGACAGACTCTCCCCGCCGAAGTGACCCCCGCGAGCGCTCCAACAGCAGAAATATCCCTCCCCCCGGCCTCCGCCAGAGCACAATTAAAATTAAAAGGCCAAAGACTCAGACAAAGAAGCAAAATGATGGAAAAGCTGGAGCCCAGCGGCTCTCCCGCCCCCCCGGCCTCTGCTGCTGGTGAGCGCCAGAGCCCTCTCCAGACTGCATCTCTGGCAATTAGCAGCCCGCTGCCTAACGAGCAGGAGAGCGAGGGAGGCACGTCCCAGGCCGCGGCCGCTGGCTCCCCTGGGGGGGCGGCCACCCCGAGTCGCCGGGAAGCAGCTGAGCCCGTTGCCATGGAAACCACCGGTCAAGCGAGGACGCCCCCTCTTCCTTCGACCCCTGCTTCGTCGTCCTCCTCCTCCTCCTCTGAACTGGCCCCCCTGCCACCCAACGTCCCTGTCATCAGCCTCGGCCACAGCAAGCCACCCATGCCCCCCATGCCTGGCACGCCAGCTTTAGGGAGCAGAGTGGTGCCCACAACTGAACTGACTGCCCTGCACCCCATCCCCTCGCTAGTGCAGTGCCCTACGGACTCCCGGGTCTCCCAGCTGGCCGCCCTGACCGCTGCCACCCCTGGAATGCCAGCCCAGATGTCCCCCGTGCCCGTCCTGCCCAGCACCCTGCTGCCTCCTCAGTACCTGCCTGGGCATCCCTTTCTGAACAGGTAGACCCCCCGCCCATCTGTCCGTGTGTCTCTTTCAAGTTTGAGCAGAGCCAGCGGTACGATCAGGCATTGGGGCAAACAGGATGAGAAGGGGGCAGGGAGGCCGCACTCAGCTGTTACGAGGAGGAATTTTGTGTTCCGGAAAAACACCGGACGCCAAATCCGTGTTGAGTGGTGACCAATCCCAAACCTTGAAGGATAGGTACAGCGATGACAAAGACCAATACAAATGTATGTGTTATTTGTCACATGAGGCTAGACTTACCTGCTGTTGGGACTTAGTGAGGACTGGGTGAAGGTCAGATAGGTGTTAATATAGAAAAAAACAAAGAATTGTAAGAGGGTGTGCTTTCTTTTTCACATTACTCTACATCCGTGACACGAAACAAGTGTCAGCTTTGGATCAGTGCTGGGGTGGCTCAGAGCAGTGCTCAAAGTTCTGGATCTCTAGCCCAGAGGCTGCAGGCCTGAGATCCCACTGTGGACAGCATGATCCCCTGGAGCAAGAGGCTTTGCCCTCATTGCCCCAGTCCACCACGCTATAGCACTGGGTACCAGCATGGGAACTCTGTGATGGACTCCTGTCCCATCCAGAGTGGAGTCACACACTCTCAGTCTGCTTAACGTTACTTAGATTGGGAAGTTCTCTTTCCTGATGAGCCACAAGCCTTGAGAACCTTTTATTTTTTTTTCAGTAATTTAGGGCGTCATTAGTTGAATAACTGTATGCTCCAGATTACATCAAAATATGTCCAATCACAAATGAAGAAACGCAGTAGCTGGCAGCATTTTCAATGTTGTTCTAGATGTAATATCCTCCTAGAGGCCTGTGATTTGTGATTGATTTCACCTGGGCATGGGTCAGGAACGCAGGGGTGAAGAAATACATGCTGGGAAGTGAAGTTCAAGACCAAGGCAGGAAGTGAGGTCAGTGGCTTGAACTAAGAGATTTGACTGCTTTCTCAAAAGGTAGCTTGTGAACACTTCCCATAGTCCCATGCACACCAAGAGGTGGTTTTGAAAACCTGGTGGTAGTCATCAGTTTTGACCCTGAGACATGGGAGTACAGTACTGCAGTGAGCTCATAAGTGTCTTGTGCATCTGGCAGAGTGTAATGGGCATTATACAGTATTAATACTCGGGGGTTCAAAGGGACGTTGCTACTTTGCTGAAAGACCTACGAATACAGAAAAAAACATTTGAATCTCAGCTCAGGAGGGAACCCCAACATTTTAAACTGGGGGCAATTACACAAAGTGCAACTGAAAGGCCAATGTAATGTGTTGTGTTGCACAACTCTTTGTAAGTATCTTACAGGTGCAGAGGACTTCTCTGATAGGCAGGGCCAAGCTCTGCATTCTACACCCTGCACCCTTGATTATTTGATTTTGACCTTAAGGTTGCTGTGAAAATCAAAAGGCCTATAGCAGCCCTTGATGACCAGAGCTGGAGGCCCTTGACCTGCTGTACAGGACCTGTCCCTGCAATGGGCCTTTTCTGGTGCAGCTCTTCTTGGTTCACCACACATTGCCACACAGTTCCTGCCCCTGCAGGGGAGCATTGCGCTACTGGGCCGGCCACAGCCCACAGCCCACAGCCCACAGAGGCTGCACAGCTGTTGCAGCCTTCCGTCCCCGGGAGAAACACTTTCACTGCTGGCCAGAAGGACATCCTTTCATCTAGGTGGTAATGGGCCATTGAAACCACCCCTTCCAGAGATCGATTATTGCTCTTGAAAGTTCCAGTTGTGGAACTGTATATACTCGGCTATACCTGAGGAAGGCGGAGCGGTGGCTCTGTGGCTAAGGATCTGCGCCTGCGGCTGGAAGGTTGCCGGTTCGTATCCCGTGGCTGGCAGAGGAATCCTACTCCGTTGGGCTCCTGAGCAAGGCTATTAACCCCAACTGCTCCAGGGGCGCTGTATAAATGGCTGACCCTGTGCTCTGACCCCAAGCTTCTCTCCCTGTCTGTGTGTCTCATGGAGAGCACATTGGGGTACTGTATATGAAAAGACAAATTCCTAATACAAGAAATAGTATATGGCCAATAAAATTGTCTTATCTTATCTACTGATGTTGCAAAGAATTCTATAGGTTGTACTTTGCCAAAGGGCTTCAGAAAACTGTGCAGCACTAATTAGTTTTTGCTAGGGTGCTTTAGTTTTTCTCAAGGTATTATTCCTTTTATAAATGGAGCTGTTTTTTCCTGTATATCACTTTTTCATGCTCTTGTTCAATACGCTGTGTAGTATAGATCAATATCTTTTTTTCCTGAAGGTCCTTCATGCCAGGATCAGTAAAAAATACATAATAGTTCATTTTTCAACTGCCTATTTAAATTAAGCAAATGTGGATACTAGAAAAGAAGAAAACCTTTTAAATTATATTATTTGATAACTTATCTATGAAGTGGCTATTTATAGATTAAGAATATGTATAAATTGTGAAATCTTTGTTTATTTAAATTTGCTCATTGGTTGAAATTAAGCACTCTTTGATTCAAATTCCTTCCCCCTGTCTGAATAGCAGCCCAGGTCTTAGTATGCTCATGGGCTCTGCTCTCTGATACAGCGTGACACAGATGCAGTGTCTAATTACTGATGCTCTGCTTCCAGCATGTTTCAATTCATCAAGTGTAATTTGTACCTTTAAATTAAAAAGTGTCTTGTAGAAATGATGCAGCAGAGCCTGCTTAATAAGAATGGAAAGCTTATTTTTTAAAAAAAACCTTAACTTGTATTTGAGCTTATTTTCTATTTTTCTTCCTGATTTTTTCATGATTTCTTAAAAAAAGACATGCACCCCCACCTCTGGAGCTTCGCTGTGGTACTTTTTTACAGTATGTGTGTGGTTTGTGTCACGGTTTTTCACCACACACTTATCACATTTGTGTTCAGTGAATGGCACCTACCATACCTGTCTGTTCTTTGCTGTGATTTCACTTTCACTGTGCCTTGCTGCGTTTTCTTGGCTTTTACCACACTATACTGCAGCAAAGCTCTGTAAGGGTTTATGGGACTGATTGTCACTCCTGATCCTCTGAGGCCTCTGTGTTTCTTCTGTTTTGCATTCTTCACTTGAATCAGCTGTTCACTTGATGGGTCTTAATTACCACTATTTCCAGGGATTAATAGTTTAATCCACTATTTGAGGATTAATAGTTAGCTGCAAATCCAGGGGAA